ATTTCACTTTTAGATAAAAAATCTTTGAGCGATGGACCAGTTTTTGTTAAATCTCTAAAGCGGTCCAAGTCATTAGTTTTTCTTTCAACTTCTTTAATAGTTTCCGATCGAATAACAGTTGCATGCAGTGTTTGACATTGTTGAAAATTGTGACATATTATACTGTTATATTGAATGATGTTTTCCAAAAACCATTTATTTAATGTTATATTACAAATTTTGGAAAGTCTACTTAATTTTGGTGAACATAACATAGCACTGTTCATATTTATAAATAGGTTATGTAATGGGTTATGAAAATCTTACAGAAAATTAATTATAGCATATTCTATCACGCAATTAATTTAAACGTTGATTATAAAAACAAAAATAATCAATTTTTATTTATAAAACTTTTATCACACTGAATTATAATCTCAATTAATAAATAAATTTGATTTAAATTAGAAGACATGTTAGAACTTCAGTGATTCTCAATTAAAATTTTTATTTACATTTATTTCCAAAAATAAGAATCTGAACGCAGTGACATCTCTTGAGATTTTGAATAACTTTGTATAGCTTTCTATCTTATTACTTGAAATACCTACAACTACAAACCTGAATTCCTACAAGAATTTTAAATTAGAGTTATCACAATAAATCACAATAAAAACTAAAAATCTCTGTTTCTATTTTTATAAATTTAAAAATAATGGAATTTTATCATTATCGTAAAAAAATTTTCTAAGTACCTGTATATAAATTATAAATTATAAATTATAATCATTATAATCGCACTCGCAGCCAATTAGCTCATATTATTTCTTATATAACATATAATTACATCACTGATATTAACTTTACAACGATACACTTATATATTATATATGAAATAATAATGATTGCCCGGGTCTCACCTCGTGGAGGTTGCCGCGTATTGGAGACCCACCCTAGCCACGGTCCCATCCACCCTCCTTTACGCAAAAATTTATTCAAATAAATTATTTTAAATAAAATTCTTCTTTTGATGCATAGTTGCAAAACGTTCAAACTATTAATCGTTATGCAACAAAAGAAGCAACAAAAGAAGCCGTAGAAAAAAAACCGGCGCGGAAGACTAAATCTGAAAATTAGAAATTCTTTTTAATAATTAAAAGCGTAAAAAAAAAGAAAAAAAAAATAAGCAAAATAAGCAAAATAAGCAAAAATAAGCAACCCATAAAGCTCTACACCATTATCTACTTATGTACATTATTTTATCTACTTAATTATGCATGCACTTAATTCTAAAATGTATTTTATTTAATCAATTTTTTTCTTATAGTATAATCTTCAGCTCCTGAAACAAAATAATATAATATTAATACAAATAATACAAATAAATACATTTCAAATATTCTACCTATTCTAAAAGCTAAGAGGATTAACAACATCACAATTTTCATGATACGATATAAACCATATGTGATCAGAGAAAATGCAAATGAAGATGTATAGACAATACCAACGATGATTAATGAACGACGTCACATAGGTGTCAAGTATTAAGGATGTAGAGTGAAAAAGTTTAGGGATGGCAAGCGATCCATGATCACGTTGCCTTGAAAGATAGGAAGTTTCCAGAAACTTTGAAACGAAATAGGAAAGGCAAAGATGCCTTTTAATAAGAGGAAGAATAGAACATTAAACACATTATTTATAAATCCTATCTATCAAAAGAAAAAGAAAAGAAAAGCTAAACGTTTCTTTGATCCTAATATAAAAATTGGAAGATGTATCTAATGATAAAGAAAGAGATTTTCTATTTCATTCTATCGAATCCTGAAACAAATTATAAAATAGAATTAGTAAAACTCAATAACATTAATTTTTTGCAGGTGATGAAGTCAAATGATACACATAATTAAATTTCTTCTATTTCTTTTCTTCAGTTCATACCTGTAACAAACTTAATTACTGGATTAATAATTAAAAAATAATTTATATTAAAAAAAAATGAAAAATTTAATACCAAAAAAAATTAATAAAATATTGTTAAGTAATTCATAATCTTAAATGAAAGACATTTGCCAGTAAAAAAGAAATATATTTTTTTAATAGCATTTTTAATAACAAACGCTTTTAATAAAGGGATGCTGAAAAGAGAAAGACAAATAGCCAGAAGGGCTATTCTAAATATCCACTCAATGTAAACCCGAACAAACCGTGAGTGGAACATTTTTTCTCATTTCGCAACACTAATCTACTAAATTCT